AGAGATTTCCAATGTAGATCAGTGTAGTACAGTCACATTCATAGCCAACTTCTGCAAAGGCATATGCATCGTCCACACACGTAAAGGCCAATGACCTTAGAATACAGAAACAGAGAGCCAGATCATTCTGGTACTGTTAGCACCAGAAGCAGTAAAGGAAGTACTTACAGGTAGAGAGATACAGTCTTGGAAGCAGCCTGTCCTAAATCTGGTATAGACGTGAGCTCATTGTGGTCCAGCCGCCTGAAAGGGACAAAGCAGTGGGTTAGAGAACAACAAATACAAATAAAGACATACACAAGAATGATATGTTGTTCTGAGGTGAGAGGACTTCACAGGCATTTTCAAGTAGTCAAAAGTTCTAAAAGTAAAATAATGAAGAGGGTAGAAAATAATTTAAGTAGTAATTTTTTTTTACATCTCGAAATCCGGACACTAGCATAGAGCCTGGGTTAAAGCTAAGCTACACCTATGTTAGTGAAGTTTTAATGTCTATACAAAATGTGCATTACACAGTAGCTGAGATTACACAGTGTCCTTGGTGCTATTCCACACTTTTCATGAAGATGGATTCAATCAAAAACTTTAATATCGATTTTCGAATTAAATATCTAACTCACGATTTGTCACTTCTGACGCAGAGCAAGTCATCCTTTTAAAATACCAAAATAACACGGGAGTAAAACAGATGTCCAGGAGCGTATGACCTGCCAGAGATGTCACCAGTGTGTGTATCACCAGTTAGCCTGTGCGTGTGTGTGTATGTGTCTTGTGTACTGGCGCTGAGTGACACAAAGCCAAGCCCTCTCCTCACCGTATAAAATATTTACAAGGCCAGCGTTGGCCACAGTATCGGGTGGTGGAGCGGAGGCTTAATATAGAAAACCACCACTTTATTCTCAATTGGACTTAGGAAGGAAATACAAGGAAATACATACGAGGACGTTACTAGGAAGTAGAGTGCAAACCGTTTGTCAGAATTAAGTCATTGATAAAAACGCTAAAAGAAATTGCCACATTCAGAGCAAACCCTCACAACAGAAAGAAAGACAGATCCATACACACACTTCATGGATCATGTATTCTGTCTGTTGACTACTTACAGCTCTCTCAGGTTGGGAAGGTTGTCAAAAGCTTCAACATCAATGGAGGTCAGCTTGTTGTGGCCAAGATTTCTGGAAAAACAGAAGACAAGAGGAGATGTAAATACAAATGTAGTTCAAGTCCTTCAGCGCAGACAAGGATGACATTTAAAAACACGCACAATATCTGTCATAAGTGTTTTTGTATTTGTCATTTTTCACTCGTTTGAATAGAGATCCTGATCGATGACACCAATTATGTCTCCCATTTGACAAACAGCCTCATACGTCCGTATTAAGTATGTCTGAAATCACTGAAGTACATCCATTGTGCTGGCCTTCTAGGAGGGCCGGATCAATACTATCGATACAGAGTGTCTCTCTCTCCTGGCTCACTTTCCAAACATCACCCGCAGGCCATTCATCTACATTAGTCAATTTGCACTTTAGGCAAACAGTGTATTTAATCGCTGGCACTTGACTTGTACGGAGGCTTATCACCGAGCGACTTGTCCGGTGATATAGTGTTACCACCGTCACAGAGTGGGGAGGAGGAGGTGAACCAACCGAACACTGCATTTTGGATTGAGCTTCCCACGGCACATGAATCAAATGTACTTCACGCACAAACAAGTGCTATCTGTGTCACACACCTCCTGCCCGGCTGGCATGCGGCTGGTCAGTTGGCAGAGAGACGGCTGCAGTGAGAGTGCTGCCTGTGCATTGGGGTTAGGCCAGACGAGACAAAGGGAGCCCACAGCTCCGAGCCGCTCGCCTGCCCGCCCCTCCATCCCTCTGTCCAGACGTGAGAGACGGCCCAGGAATGTTTCACAGGCCTGCTGAGAGTTGGCTGCTTGTTCCCAGACACTGGGGACACTTTTACCTGATGCAACACATTCCTCATCCTCTTGTCCCACGAAAAGACCGCAGAGGGTTCAGGGGCTGAACCCTGTCACTTCATGTCATTAATTCTTCATTTAAGAGGAAGTAGGCATGGATATTATGGAAGTAAATGTGAGGATGCTGGGTCAGAACCAAAGCAAAGGACTGTAAACGATTTAATACTGTTTATGTCCATCAATCTCAATCTCCACCCCACTTGACAGATTTCCCTTTCTTGTCTTCTGTGTTTGATTGCAGATAATGACAGCCTCGCTCCGCAAATCTTCCTCCCTGCCTGTGTGTGTGTGTGTGTGTGTGTGTGGGGGGGTGTGTGTGTGTGAGGAGATAATAGCAGGGCATGTGTCTAGCCTGCAGGCATTGGCCTGACAGGGAGCTGAGCATGTGTGTTGCTGGATTTGCTAGCTCCAGGCAACCTATCTTTCACTGGATTTATATTAGCAAAAACCGGGATAATACATGATACTTTTTTAGGTACCACCTCTAATAAGGTTCAAAGCAAGCAGACACTGTAGAGTTGAGTTCCCTGCAGACCGCTGATTGATCAGAGAGAACTGTCATTTTTGCGACATGGGACATCCCGAAATGTTTAAGTAACCAAGATATCTTTAATATCACATGTGTTTGTTCCATTAATCCAGCAAACCTAGGCTGTACAGTTGAGGAAAAGCTCACATTTTCTCTTCTGGTTGCCGATAAGGATTCAGCACCGAGAGGGCATTACCAGCATCGAAAACAAAATAGAAAACAAGTACTATTATTGAGGCGGGTCGATCCCAAACTACGCTTTGAAAGCATAGGCCTACGTTAAGGTCATTTACTGGGGAACCTCACATTGCAACCCAGTTCACTGAATCGTCGTACAGGAGGCAATTACCTCGTTATGGTGGAGCTAAGTGAAAAATGACAGCTCTCCAATGGGCCGCCTCTGCCTGGAGGCACATTTATTCACACACACGGCTCAGACAAGATGAACTTGGTAGAGCGGTGTCATCTGGAAGAGCAATCTGTAGCTTTTCTCAACCTGCTTTTGGCACAAAACAGGTTGAGATATTTTAACCAGTGAACCTTGAGTTACAAGCGTATAAAAGATCCATCCAGGGACACCGACTCCAAAGGGGTTTTTTATTTAGCATTTTAAGGTGAAGGAAATTGGCTATGCACGTATTCATAGCTCCTCAATCTCAACACTTACAATACAAAACAGAACAAAGGCACGACTAAGAAAGTCACGTTTGAGAGCCAAACCTGCCGTACTGGTGCTAAAGGCCACGGCAACAAACAGAACGGGCCCTTTGTGTGAGTGTGCAAGCATGCATGTGCCTCTTTCTCAGTCACCGATGGTGTTTACACAACTGAGACTTTTCCCCTTCATCTCACTCTCAGCCAGATTTCTTTTCTTGCCGATCAGATTAGATAAGTTTCACAGCTTTTTAACACCTACTGTATGAAGCGATGGTGATAACACGCATTTCCCTCCCTCTACCTTCCCCCCTCTCTCCTGTGGAAGGAGGGGAGGACTCCAGTGCTAAGTGTGGTTAATGCTTTCCAGAAAGTGACCTTACAATCATGCAGTTTCTGGAAGAAGCCTTGAAACCATTAGAGTTTTGGACTTTGAGAGATGTAGACTCCAACACTATCAGGAACAAACACACAGAGAGAACAAACCGGCGACCTCCACAGGTTTACGTTATTTTATTTAACCAGCCCGGGGAAAAAAGGATATATAGAGATGTGAACAGTCGCTGTGATTAACCACGGCAAACACTACAAAGCAGTTTCATTTAAAGCTTCAAACGCAGCATTCCATTGTACGGTACAACTAGTTTAGACAAATGGGCAGGACTGTTTGAGATTAGTCAGCAGGATCTAAATCAAAAGATCTCTCTGCCAGGTACTTAACCAAAGAAAGTGTGTGATAATTCAAGGACGCATGTTGAGCCAAATGCTTACTTTCCCACTGAAGTCAAGCCGTTCTGACTGGTGCCAAGCCAGGTGGGCATTTTGTACATTCTTCTTAAATCATTTGTATTTACTCAAAAGGACCAGAAAGCAAATAATGAAAATGTGCAGTCATGGCATTAATCACTTTGTGAAAAATCATATAGTTGTCATATAGTCATATAGTTGTACTGGCGGTACACTCCAAGACAACATTTCTGAAGTTCAAACTACTTGCAAAATATTCACAAATATAAAAAAACAGGCCCCGTTTAACATGAACCATCTGTTCCAAACAGCTCTAGCCAACACTTCAGTTACTGTGTTCAACAAACTGCTTGCCATCAGTGAGCACAAAGGTCAGCATAACCTCTTTCTGTCGGCAGAGCTGGAAACGTGAAACGAGAGGGCCGGTCTGGGATAAAGAGGTGCAGTTACACTTCCACCTTCCAACTCAAAACACCCGCCACAACCCAAACACCTCCCCACACCTTACAAACAATAAACACAAACAGTGAGAGACTGTTAAATATCAAGAAGGGAAATAGCATTGCTGCAAAACAAGAACACCCCAAATAGGCAAATGTCAGAAACAACAAATAATCAACCGCTTGTTGCCCTGAAGCCGTGCCACTAGTTCCAATCAGTGAAATAATCAACTACTCTGAAGATGAACTCGTCCATCAAGAATAAAAAACAAGCATTTGGTTATTTCCGGTATGAGGTCTGTTTCCTTTTTCTCTGATGAATGTGCAGAACTCTGGGTTTTCTGAGTGTCTAACAATTGCTACTTGTGATTAGAGCTAAATGAGTAATCAAGAAAACAAAAATGTAAATCAATTTAGACCAAAATGATGATTAGTCGATTTTGATTTATGTAGCAGATCAGTGGTTTTTGTGTGACTTTAAGCGCTTTGTTTCCAAGAAACTTATGAACACATCCCTGGTAAATACAACCACATTGAAAGTGGTGGTTCTGCATGATTCTTTTTATAGGTTTTGATCAGCTAACAGCCCCATGTGTGACCTTAATAACTATTTTTATCTTTTATTTTGCTTTTATAAGCCTCAACAAAAACAGTCGCTAGATCATCTGATAGTCAGCCAACTCCGGGAAAGATACGTAAGCAATCTAAAAAGTTAGCTTCAATCTTGGAAATAAGTCTTCAAAAGGCTGCCTGACTAAGCAAAGAGTCTGAGGAGAAAAAAAGAGGGCTCAGCGCCTGCAATAGAGCGTCATAGTTGGACCATGGAGCTGATCTGACATATAAAACTCATTAAAAGCCTTTAAAAAATAGCTGTGTTATGGCTGCTGTGGGAGTAGAGGAAATCTGGGAGTGCAGGAGTGATGTCATAGCGTATGACACCACTCTTGTAAGTCAGCACTGTGTGTGTGGGAGAGAGAGGGGAGATGTGGGGAGGGAGAACGAGCGCAGGGACTTGCACACACACACAGAGATACATCATCATTATCTCCCCCTTCGCTATCGTAGACAAATGCAGCGTGAACTTTGCTCGCTCAAAGTGTGAAGTGATGTCAGTGATGAGCCTTCTGTAGTCCAGCCGGGAGACAAAGGCCCTTTAATGTGGTCGATTTCAAAGCATCGTAAAAACTAGTCAAATAATAACCTTAAGTGTCGGAAGGCCAGACACACACGCGCACACACACACACACATGCGCGCGCACACACACCACACACACACACACACACACACACACACACACACACACACACACACACACACACACACACACACTACTCCACAAAGGAGTCTCACCAGCCTTTGAAATCAGTGAGGCTAGGGGGAGCGTGACTCTGTTTCTGAAGTCTTCCAAAGCAGGAAGGCGGGTTACATCTTGGGGCCATGTGCACGGACCATTCTTCACGCTGCTGCTTATGGGCTGACGCATGGAGATGGAGCGGGGCCCTCCAAATAAACAGGGAGAAGGTTGGGGAAAGGGTCTGCAGTAGCCCCTGAGGCACTGTGCCCGACGACGCCAGCCTGGACCCTCCTCATGAGAGGCCAATAACACTATTGTTGTCTCGAGTTTAACACTGGATTACAGTGTGATAACAAAGTGGTTTGTTACAAACAGCACCACATTGCTTCATCATGAGTAAAAAGGCAATGGCCGTCCCCAAGTCATCTGAAAGAACAACATAAATACTGCACGTCTCTTCAGCGTATTGTTTTTGTATCGTGCAGCCAGTTGACCCTACGCTCCCGACTTCAAAGCAAAGCAAAGAACG